AAAACACAGTTATGAAGTGGTTTGTAATGTCTAGCTTTCTTGGCCAATCACTGTTCCTGTTCTGAGAACTGCCAGTAGAAGCTGACATCATGTTTACACTTGAAACAATTCATTATTTTGCTTTGTTCTATAGAAGGAGGACCTGTTTCTTATACACTGCAATTACAAGTAGGAATTTTTGTAAAAATTTTTAATATTTAGTCAAGAAGCAATGACATCAAATAAAAGAATAGAGTGGACACCTAGAAAGAGATGTAATATTATTGAGTTACGAGAAAGTGGTCTTTCCTATGCTGAAATTGCAAGACAGGTGGGTGGTTCAGTGACTACATCTGGAGTCCGAAAGTTTTGTTTACGATATCAGGAGACAAATTCAATAAAAAACAAAGAAGGAAAAGGCCGAAAAAGGTGCACCACATCTATTGATGACAGAAGAATAAAAAGACTATGTCTCCAAGATAGAAAAATGTCATCAGCGGCCATCAGAAGTGATCTGAATGATGCTGGTGTCTCTGTCAGTTCAAGAACAATCAGGAGAAAATTAACAGATGTTGGACTAGAGAGGTAGAATTCCACGAAAAAAAGCCTTATCTTAATTTTCAGCAACGAAAAAAGACTACAGTGGGCATAGGAACACATTAATTGGACAGATGATCAGTGGTCACAAGTTATATGGAGTGATGAAACTAAGATATCATTATTCGGTAGTGATAGGTGAAAATATGTTAAGACGTAGAATAGGAGAAGACTGCATTCAAGCAACTGTGACATCCTGACTGCATTCAAGCAACTGTGAAGAACCCAGTTACTGTTATGATTTGGTCATGCATGTCAGCAGATGGTATTGGTCGCCTTCATGTCATCGATGGGACATTGAATGCCAGAAAATACATTGACACTATTCTAGAACCAAAACTTCTACCCTCCATCAGAGATCTCTTTCCCAACAATGCTTCGTTTATTTTTCAGCAGGATTCTGCTCCTTGCCACACGGCCAAACTATCGAAAGAGTGGTTTCGTACGAAGCGCATTAAATTGTTGTCATGGCCAGAAAACAGTCCTGACCTCAATCCTATTGAAAATTTGTGGCACCGTTTGAAAACTCTTGTCGGAATGAGGCGCCCATCAAAATAAAAGGGAACTAATTGAGGCTGTAATTGTTTCCTGGCATCATGTAATAGCGAAAGAAGAGCTTAAAACTCTTGTCAGCTCAACGAAATGTCGATGTGAAGCTGTAATAAAAAATAAAGTGTACCCTACTAAGAACTGATAACTCACTGCAATCATCACTATCTAATGTATATCGATAACTATTATCGTTTAACATTTTTTGTATTGCAAATAACTGAATTTTGTGTTTTGTATTGAATTCAGTAATAAATTCTCTTTAAAATGATATATACAAGTTTGCATTTTGTGAAACGTAATGTTTTCTATAAGCATACAAAGTTCAAAAACATAAAAATTTCCAAGAGTGTCTACAATTTTGGCCACCACTGTATATCATGCGTAAGATTTTCGCTTTTATGGAAAAAATAAAGAATCAATGCAAATACGCTTAGGATAATGGACCAAAACTGAAAAAAATTTCCCCTCCCTCCTAAAATAAAATATTGAAAATTCGACCTTGAATTTATTGGATTATCGAACTATTCAAGTTGACTTATCTTCTAAATCCTAGTTCCGTATACAATTCCGTCAAAAATTCTGAATTACTGAAGCTTAAGTAAAAGGTTTAGTATATATTCACTATATGTTAATAAAGTAATCAGAGTGTAATAAAAATAGATTATAGAATTTATGCTGATGCAATTTTCTGTTTGAATGCACAACATGTAATGGAAGAGAAAGCTTGTAGAGATTTGTTTTTGAATGCCTCTAAAAGTAGATGTCATACTCCTTTTGTCTCTTCCATGTCAAAAAATTTTCCTTTGAGAGGCAACTTAAGTTTTTGGAAAGAAAAAAAATCACAAGAAGACAAATTTGAAAAACATGCAGGACGACTCCGATTGGTTATTGAATAATGAAAAGATCCATTGTCATGCAATACAAAGAATTTGGAATACATTTTTTGACTGAATAATGTAAGTCATCTGCTTAATTTTCAGCCATTTACAAGTCAACTACTCGGGCAATTGCAGAATCGTTTTGATATCTGAGCTTGTAAGACAAACCTAATATCACTGGATTTAAACACTTCTTTAATCTTCCGAGAACATTCCTTCTTTAGAACATATTCCACGAATATTAATTCCTGAATCTTCAAATAATTCGACTGAAAAATCCTGGGATGTTCCGTTTATGATACAGTATGATACTCTATGACGTAATTTAAATTTATACAACCACATAGTCGAAAACCGGTCGCTCTTCAATTTAAACTGCAATGATATGGTTTTTGTCTTTTCCGTTAGTAACTAACTTATTTGCTGCTATTTTCTGGTGTGCACATCCAAGTGTTTTCTCTTAGAACACCCAACTTCCTTACTTCCTTGAAGCAATTCCCTTTAAATTTATTCTTTTTGTCCCCTAATTTTCTTCTTTACTTCTACATTTGTTTTCAGTGCTGACACAAGAAAATTAAGAATTTTCGATTGTAACACTTCCATAAATTTTGTACTCTCGTAAAATTTTTTTAAATATTTGTTGCATCAAATGCGTTTTAGCTGAAGATAGCTTTTCATTTTCTAGACATTTTAACTATAAATAAAGTTTTAAAGCAAAGTCCAAAGGATAAATATTTGAATTAAAAGATTTTTTTAAATGAGAAAGAAATAAACCACTCCAGCAGCGCTTATCCTGTACCACAGAGTGGCCTGATTTTTATACTAGGTGCAAACAATCTAAATCATATTATTTAGAGTTTTTAAGCCTAATAATGTCTATATATTAAAGAACATGTTTTTTATATCATCTACAACACGAGAAAAAATTACTACTTAAAACGTTCAAGAGGATTTATGTAAAAATTTATATATATATATATATATATATTTTTAAAGCTGGGACATGACCCAAATTTTCAATGTCCTGTTTGCTTAAAAACATTGTGAAAATAAATAACAAACAAACCTTCTCATTTTTAGACAATTCAATTTAAATGCGAAGTGAAGTAGCAGACGATAACACGGCAAAGGTAAAAATTTACTCTTACAAATATTTAAAAAAAAAAAAAAAAATGAAGAGAGAAAGTCTGAGAATCGAAATATGTAAAAAAATCGGTATGTTATTTAAAAAAAAGTCCAATTTTGCGTCAAAATACCTATGTTAGAATAGTGCTATATATAAATCTAATACATATCCTAAGTCATGCTTTTGAGACATGAGAAATGCAATTTGAATTTTGTCAATTGGCCCAGTAGAACGAGAGATATAGAACTGTCTCCCCCTTTTTTTAAAGCAGTATACATGCGCTATTTTGTTAGTAACAGCAACTGCAGTGGTATTAAAAATGGCTTGTTGATGATGCTTTTCCTTTTTCAATTTTTGAACTGCAGTTTTTCTAGATTAACCTTCTAAATTGAAATATTTATGTTCTTTACGAGTCAAGTAGTGTTTATTTGCATTAAATTCTTTCAAATTAGTTAAAACTGTATTGTACAATAAGCACACCATTTTATCTTTCATCGAAGCAAAGAATTAATCTAACTCCCATTCTACATTAAATGTTCACTTTTCTTCATTTAATTTCTTCTCTTACAATTTGACACAATGGACAAAAAAAAAAAAACGAATATCAAATAGCATCTTTAAAAAAGCATATACTTACTAAAAATACAATAAAATCACGAATTAAAGTAAATCCTCAGACTAAGTAAAACAATAACTAGATATTCACAATAGCCGATAACGATATAAGATGAGAGTGTTACAAGCAAGCAGAGATAAGTACAAATCACCAACTCCGCAACATACGGGGAAATGCTGAGGGGTGTGGGGCAGAGGGTGAAAAGTAGATACTGTCTGTTTCTCAGAACAGCCACTGTAACTGTGTCTGGTGGGTGGCAGCTGCTATAGAAACAGGGTTAGTGTACTTTCAAGTAGGTCTGAGCCATAGCCAAAAATAAGAATAAAACAGAAGAATTTCTATTGTCGGATGTTGGCAAATTGAAAGTGTACCAGAATGGCAATAATTTCAGAATATGAAAGATTGCTAGAACTGCAACACTGTAGCATTCTAATTCATGTTATCTCAATAGATGGCAGCACTCTATTAATTTTTAACTCTATTAACTTTCAAATTACCATAATCTATATAATTAAATACTAATTAATATAAGAGCTAGAGGCTGCATGTACCCCACCTCTGCTATATACCATTAACATTCAGCATTAGAAAAAAAAGCAAAATACAATTCTCCAGACACACTTTCCTTCGAAATGAGTAAACATCAGTTGTGGAAACTAGAAAAAAGAAAAATACTTCGCAACAAAGTCATGAGTTGAATCAAGAAAATATACAGCATAACACAGTATATGCATAAACTGTGCAATGGAAAATCCTTTGACAGAAAATATCAAACTTTAAAATACTATTATTTTTTAGAAAGCATACATTTTTTAACTCTTTATTGGACTATGGGTTTGCCATGAACCAGGAGTAATTTTGCAAGCTAAGTGAACAAAATTGCCCAGTATATGGTGAGAAATTAAGATGTGTACACCTAATTAATATACGTTCACTAATGTCCTGCACTGTCATTTTCAATTAAGATTTTGAATACTGAAAAGTATGATAACAATTCTTGCTACAATCACAGAAAAATATAATAGTTCTTGGAGCACATATAAAAAATGCACAATACTATTTGTATACAGTCATACAAACAGTACGCTACCAGCTCATGGGGACTAATTACACCCAACACTTCAATTAGTTAATTAAAAATTATGTCATTAAAATACTGAGTTTTAAAAACTTGTAATAGTTTTATACCATATTAATTGTCATTTATTACACTGTTTTAAATAATTTTAGTTGCTTACATAGGAATTTATTTTCAGTACTTACCAGCTAGAGCAATAATTTTAATTATCTGTCTTGGCTGTAAACGATGATTTAGGATTTTCATTTGCTCATATGTTAGCTTTGAACTTGAAGATTCACTAGAATAATGCATTAAATTGTAATCAAACATTACAAATCAATTTTAAGACACAATTTAATAAAGAAAAATAAATAAATCATACATTACCTGTAACTATGTATACTTTGTTGTCCTGGCAACCCTGATACAACTTTTAAAGTCTGAGAACCCTCAATAGGTTTGTCTGGAGAACTATTTTCAATCAAATAAAGACTGTAATAGACTCTATAATGGAGGCTACAGAATGGAGGAAATACATGATATTACAGTCTATACTAATAAACTTGATGGAATGCAAAGCATTAAAACAACATTTATGTTTTTATAAAACTGAAAAACATGTTTATATAAGCACAGTTGAGCATTTCTATAATAAAGCTGAATTACAGTAAATGAATTATTTCTCCTTCCATAAGTAAAACTAAAATAATAATAATAATTTTACTTTCAATTAAAAATTTAACTCTAATAGTAATTTGAAACATATTTCCATGCACCATTTCCTTCTACTTTAAACCTTTCAGAGGCAAGAGTTTCAACTGTAATCAGTATTTTCAACAATTTTTACTTCAGATAGGTAGTGGTTTATTTTTTAAACAATCTCTCTAAAAACATAACTAAAGCATAAAAGATGAAAAACAGGTGTTATTGAGACATTAGGTATTTTTTTGGAAGCAAGAGTCATGAAAAATTAGCAACGCTTTCGCTGGGAATCAAACCATGGAACTCTGAAATACACGCCCAGTGTACAGACCACCACACCACGAAGGGGGAGAAATACCTTATATAAATTCCCCCTTTTAAAGGGCGACTGGGGTTTTAGGGAACCTAATCGCCAAATCCTGGGTGTGGAGAATCATTATCCAACACCCTTTTAGTTTGGGCGCCACTGTAGATACATTAGGTATTTTTTTTTTTTTTTTTTTTTTTTTTTTTTTTTTTTTTTTTTTTTTTTTTTGGACGCAGGAGTCGTGAAAAATTAGCAACGCCTTCACTGGGAATCGAACCACAGACCTCTGAAATACGCACCCAGTGTGCAGACCACCACAGCACGAAAGCATACCAAGAAGGCGGGAGAAATACCTTACAGTGTCAGTAAACTATCTCACACATTTAAGTGCACTTACTCAAATAATTTCTTGGGTTTTTTTTTTTTTTATATAACCTTTATTTACTGCTGAAAGTTTACTATTATAACCATGCAATTAATTAGAACTTAGGATTTCAGCCATTGAAAAGAGAAAAAAGAGCAAGAAATACAAAATATATGCATGACTTAATCATTACTAATTGCTATTTGTGTTACCAAAAACAGGAATACTTGACAAATTTATAGTTAAATATCTAATGAATATTAACCCATTAACCACCAAAACTATTAAAAATGTTTCTTTCCTCTTGAAAATAATAACAAATATTAAATTAACCATTTATAACATAAATTTACATTGAAAATAAAAAAAAAAAAAAAAAAATGCTCTTACCTGTGGAAAAAGCAAGTGTTGCGTTCACGCAACATCAGCAGAGACTACGGATGTTTAGTGAGTAGGATTGAACTCGTGTGATGTTTCTTTTGAGTGCAATGCAGGATTACTTTTAGCTTTATAACATTTCAAAATCTACAAATCACTTTACTTGTAATTAATTTAATATTAAAATATCCATTGTATTTCTTTTACAAATACAGATTATTTCAATTGAACGACTCGAGCATGAAAAGCTTGATTACAATCATGATGTAAAGTTACATTACATACTTTGCATCTATAAACCGTCTGGCTATGGTATTCTTTACAACAAAGTCTTTTGTTATCAATGGATTTTATGATAAAATGTCTACCATCTCCATGCAATGGTTTCTGAATGCTGAATTTACTAGGTCTTCCTGTTGCTGATCTATTTCTGGCTAATTCTACATTCTCAATAGGAGTTTGCAAAAGGAATAATGCATTCTCGTGTCTGCAATCTAAAAAAGACTTTATGTTTCCAGTAGTAAAAAGTGGTGATATTTAGTAAGTTTAGATACGGTCTCACCCGATATAATTTACCAGTATTGTCAAATGCAAATTCTGCTTCATATTCCTGTACTGCAAACGTGATATCAATTCTCTTACAACAGGAACAGAAATGTACTTATCAAAAGACCAACACATTTTTTCTTGAGGTAAAGAATGATATCATGTAAGCAATAATATTCCAATAAATCTTCTCATGTAGGCTTCAGATGCAATAAATTCTGGGTTGTATTTTTTTTCCCTGAGCGTATATATTTGCCTGTTCAACGAGAAGAGAGTAAATGTCTAAACCAAAAAGAAAATCGAAAATCTGTCACTAAGTTTCAGAGATTCCTTGTATTTTGTCTTTTATAGTTTCTCTTCTATCTCTTTCTTCATGTTTCTTCCTGAGACATAACTGGCGGTGCCTTTTTTATCCATTTCAAGATTTTCAGTCTTTCTGCTTTTTAGAAACTTTTTCGTGTGACTACAACTGCTTTTGGAACGGCTGAAACTTACTTCTTACGTGAATTTTCAACTTCCCCAGCAGTATCATTTGGTAAAATATCATTATCATTATTTAAAACGTTGTCATTCCTTTCTTCTTCTTCATCACACTAGCTTCTTCAATTTCTGGGGGGAACAACAACAATATCAGTTTCATTCTGGTCATTGTTAACACTTATCATCATCTGTTTCTTCAATCAAAAAATCTTTGGAAGGGCTTCTTCTAATGTAAGATACCTCGTTCTAGACATTTTTAAAGCAAGCAGAACATGAACCATAACATCGGAAGGAATGAGTGAAAAATGAGGATTGACTTACCCGTTTCCTGCTCATGACGTTGCGTTCAGCGCAACACCTGTTTTCCCTTCCTTCCCAACACAATATAAACATCTGACTGATGTAATGGTCTGATAAACGGTGACCTTGACTAAAAATAGATCACTCATAAAGACGGCGATTCTTTTATTAAATATTTTCAGCAAAAATATCTGGTCAAATATTTTGCTTAAAGTATGAGATTAATTATTATAAACAAAATGATTGTTGAAGGCAAATATTTTTTTACAGAAATAATCTTCATAATATTCCCTACATAAAATCATATGCTGGTATAAAATATCTTAGGTAGTTATATTTATATAAGCATTTATTTTGACCGTTGCGTCTACGCAACACCAGCGGCTAATGGGTTAATGGAGTCCTTATCTTCATTTATGCCCTACTTCAGTTTCATAAAAAATGAATCAATATTTTTCACTTCATAAATTCAAAATTTAGTCATTTATCAAGCGGAAACAAAATATTTATATACAGAAAATAATTTATCCAAACTACCAAGAGAAAATTTCACAAAATCCTGCTCTATATTAATAATCTGTAGCTATCTATAACTTGCACTATATCATGATTTATGGCTGTATTCCTTTCTAACTTAATTCACCTCATTCTCCCCCTTTTTTGTGCATGTGTGTGTTAACATACACCCACCATTCATACATTCATAGTTTTGCTTGTTCAAAGCAATCTTATGTTTTTTTCCTCCTTGTACCAAATCAGTGATTCTCATTTTTAATAAATTCTGTAAATTTTCCAGTTTTCAGAATAAAAACTGTTGCGTTCTGCTGTCTAATATGAAGCAAAAATTAACCTAAGTTATGCTTTGTAATACCCTGTTAATATCCACTATTTCTAAACCTGTCCCTTGGATCTTAAGCTACTTTTCCTAGTTTCTCCCAATTTTTTTTAATTAGTGGTTCAGATAAGTTAGCATTTATGACACTAATCATGTTTACATAAATGAACCAACATTGGATGCTTCAGAGCAAAGCTTATTTTCTCCCTTGTATTCATATAATTATTTGTGAGCTGCTTTAAACATTAAAGTGAGATTAACCAAAGACCTATTTCAAGTACTTATGTGGGTAACTGTATAAGATATATTTTAAGAAGAGACAGATGCAAAAATGGGAAAATAGGAGCAAAATTCATATTTAGTCCAATGGAGTAATTTAGGTACAAAATGAGAGTAACAAAGCACATCTAAATTATCTACATTATGATATATAGCAAAAATAAGTAAAATTTTTAAAGCCCCTAACATATATATACTATATATATATTGCAATACCTAAAGGTCTACTGTCTAGCTATTATTTTGAAATTTGTACATATCTATATGTAAAATATAAAATAAGAAAATAAATCACTAATTAATTACTAACTAAATCAGCAATATTCCTTGAAATTTCTTCTTTAGATTTAATTAAGTACCCTCTTAAAATCTGACATCCGCAATGTGTACCACGATGCTGAAAATTCTCCATCAATTCCTGCTTAGATATTATATAAAGACTTTGCATTCCTATCATCTCTTCCTTTTGCTTCAAGCTCCCACTTCATTTGTAATAGTCACTTGTTGACTTCATTACATTGTTTCAAGATGTATAACTAGTTACATTGTTTCAAGATGTATAACTATTGTAAACTTCTTACTGCATTCATAATTGTCCCAAATCAGCAGATATGTATCTCTAAGAAATCATTCTTCTGAAAATAAATTTAAACCACTGGAAAAAAATGTTTTGTGATTCTTCAAACATGCAGTCTTCTGCAATGCAAAATAATTGTAACGAGCAATCATCCATCACCACCTGGTTGACTGCAAGACAGCAGATGCCCTTTCTTCCTCCGCAGAAAATGCTTTTTCATATCCACAACCTCAAACATTGCATATATATTTATTTCAAAATCACCACATATTAAAATGAATTCCCATAGTTTATACATTCAAATTAGTTTGAAAACATGGTGTTTTGTAGCTGGTTAAAACTAGCAGTTACATCTGATTTATAAAAATCACTTCTTAATTTATTGTTTTTCCTAAATAAGTCTGTAAGTTACAAGTATCACTAGAATACTTAAGTACAACTTTATTAAAAAAAAAAAAAAAACAAGATTAGTTTATCAACTAAAATTAACACAAAAATATTAATAAATAGCATCTTTAACATCTCACTTAAATAAATTGATAAAAATACTAATTAAATAAATATGAAACTGAAATAAAGCATTCTCATTTCATATCTTAAAATACCATAAAAAGTAAAATAAAGAACTCTCCAGATTAGGTTACTTTAAATGTACAGTATTCAAGAAGATGCACTGCATGCTTGAAATACAAATTAACAATAAATCCTGTAGTGATCTGTTTAACCCATTAGCTGCTGGTGCTGCGTTTACGCAATGGTCAAAATAAATGCGTATATAAATATAACTACCTAAGATATTTTATACCAGCAGATGATTTTGTGTAGGGAATATTATGAAGATTTTTTCTCTAAAAAAATATTTGCCTTCAACAATACTTTTATTTATAATAATTAATCTCATACTTTAAGCAAAATTTTAACAAAATTTTCGACCGGGTATTTTTGCTGAAAATATTTAACGAAAGAATCGCCGTCTTTATGAGTGATCTATTTTTAGTCAAGGTCACCGTTTATCAGACCATTACATCAGTCAGATGTTTATATTTGTGTTGGGAAGAAAGGGAAAACAGGTGTTGTGCTGACGCAACGTCAGCAGGAAATGGTTAGTCAATCTCCTTTTTCACTCCTTCCTTTCGATGTTCTGGTTCATGTTCTGGTTGTTTAAAAATGCCTAGAATGAGGTATTTTACATTAGAAGAAGCCCTTCAAAGATTTTTTGATGAAGAAACAGATGATGATAGTGTTAATAATGACCAGAATGAAACTGATATTGTTGTTGTTCCCCCAGAAATTGCAGAAGCTAGTGAAGAATAAGAATGGAATGGCAATGTTTTAAATGATGATAATGATATTTTACCAAATGATACTGCTGGGGAAGTTGAAATTCACGTAAGAAGTAAGTTTCAGCCTTTTAAAAGCAGTTATAGTGATACTAAAAAGTTTAAAAAGCAGAAGACTGAAATCTTGAAGAGGACAAAAAAGAACTGTTAGTTATGTCTCAGGAAGAACATGAAGAAAAAGATAGAAGAGAAATTAAAAAAGACAAAATACAAGGTAAAACTAGTGCACAGATTTTCGATTTCCTTTTTGGTTTAGACATTTACTCTCTTCTCGTTGAACAGACAAATATATACATTCAGGAAAAAAAAAAAAAAAACACAGAATTTATTGCATCTGAAGCCTATATGAGAAGATTTATTGGAATATTATTGCTTACAGGATATCATTCTTTACTCAGAAAAAATGTTTGGTCTTTTGATAATACATTCTGTTCCTGTTGTAAGACAATCGATATCACGTTTGCAGTACAGGAATATGAAGCAAAATTTGCATTTGACAATACTGATAAATTATATCAGGTGAGACCGTATCTAAACTTACTAAATATCACCACTTTTTACTACTGGAAATATAAAGTCTCTTTTAGATTGCAGACGCGAGAATGCATTATTCCTTTTGCAAACTCCTATTGAGAGTGTAGAATTAGCCAGAAATAGATCAGCAACAGGAAGACCTAGTAAATTCAGCACTCAAAAACCACTGCATGGAGATGGTAAACATTTTATCATAAAGTCGGTTGATAACAAAAGTGTTGTAAAGAGTACCATAGCCAGACTGTTTATAGATGCAAAGTATGTAGTAGTTTACATCATGATTGTAACAGCTTTTCATGCTCGATCGTCAATGAAATAATCTGTATTTGTAAAAAAATACTATGTATATTTTAATATTAAATTAATTACAAGTAAAGTGATTGTAGATTGATAAACATCCATACTAAAAAGCAATCCTGTGTTCCACTTAAAAGAAACATACACGAGTACAATCCTACTCACTAAACATCCGTAGTCTCTGCGACGTTCGCAAACGCAACACTCGCTTTTTCTAGATATTTTTTTTTTTTTTTCAATGTAAATAAGTTATAGGCCTATTTAATATTTGTTATTATTTTCATGAGAAAAGAAACATTCCTTGTAGTTTTGGCGGTTAATGGGTTAAGAAAAAAATGAAATCTGTAACTCAGTCAAAACATCAAAGTTTATTCAGGTGTTCTGTGGTATTAGTACCACACGATTTCACATGTTCACGTAACACTCATGTTAGCAATACAGAAAAGTTGAGGTCTATATTTCAAGTTATCATCCACATCCTGTAGAATCGCTGGATATTGTTCTGACTACCATTTATCTGGAATTTTTATGGCAAAATATATTGAAAATTCAGCAAAAGCAGCAGCATATATGTGCAAACATTTAATTTTTTTTTAAAACCAAAAATTTACATTTTAGCCAAAACAAAAGATAGTGCTGCTCTGAATATGCCAGAAATTATATGCTGAAATTTAATGAAACATTTTCAATCCTTTTTATCCAGAATTTATTAAAAAAACATAAATAACTTTTCAGCTTTACATATCTATATGTCAGTCTTTCACTCCAATAACAAATTTGAATAACAATGGATAAATCTCTTCATATTTTTATTATAACAGAATTTCTTTTTTAATAATATGCAACATTTATTTTCATTCATGATTTTTAAAAAATATATAAATTTGATTAATTTCTATATTTACTTTAAAACATATCCTCCAAAAAATGGGAAACTGCATGTTTTTAAAAATAATTCAAACTAAGAAATAGTAATTTTTTTAAAGATTATTATGATACGAGGGCTATCCAGAAAGTAGATTACGTTTTGGATAAAAAATAACAAGTATAGGAACAATTTTATTATATCAGATGAACCACACTCAAATACTACTTTCTACATAGTCACCATACAAATTAAGGCATTTATCGTAGCGATGTACGAGCTTGAAATTCCTTCGTCGAAAATTCGGCCGCCTGCGCCTTCAACCACTCGTTACCTCTTCTTGCAGCTGTGCGTCGTCATCAAAACGCTGCATAGCCGCCACTTCTTCATTCTGGGAATAGGTGGAAGTCGCTCAGTGCCAGGTCGGGACTGTACGGCGATGAGGAAACAACTCCACTTAAATATTCAAGAACTTACGAGTGACATTTGCCGTGTGGGGCCGGGCGTTGTCGTGAATCAACAAGATCTTAGAGCTCAACATTCCTCTGCTCTTGTTTTGAATTGCTCTTCTGATTTTTGGAGAGTTTGCAATACCTTTGAGAGTTTTATTGTAGTGCCTCTTTCCAGAAGTCCACCAAAATTACACCTTTTCTGTCCCAAAAAAACAGTCGCCATCATCTTCCTTGCCGACATTGTTGCATGCATTTCTTGGGTTTTGGGGAGAACTTGTGTGCCCCCACGCATTGATTGCAATTTCGTTTCACGTTCCATGTTTCACCCATTTTCGTCACCAGTACGATGCGATCGAGTAAAGAGTCACCATCCTTATGTAAACGTCCAAAAAGTTCAACGCTGCCCATTCGCTGATTTTTGTGGTCCTCTGTCAAGATTTGGAATCCATCTTGCACAAACTGTGGTAACCAAGCTTTTCGCTGATGATTTCGTGCACAAACTTCGCGAAATTTGTGGAAAACTCAAAGAAAGTTCCGTTATTGTGAAATTTCGATTTTCACGGACTTAGCATCGACTTTTTCGAGAAGTTCGGCGGTCACTATCTGGGTCTCCCACTTCGATCTTCTCGTGAACATTGGTTCGGCCATTTTGAAATCTTATGACCCACTGACGCACTCCACCTCAGTGATAATGTTGTCCCCATACACTTCACGAAGCTTCCGATAGATTTCTATCGTTTTACAGTTTTTTGCAGTCAGAACCTTATTACTGAGCGCACCTCGCAGCTCGCGGGATTTTCAATTAACGCAGACATTTCAAACCGTCACAGTATCTGAACGGAGCACAGCACGAACCTCTCACTAGCACGGCTAGATGCAGACTGAGCTGCGCAACGCTCTGACCCCAAGATGGCCGCGCTAGCCCCGGCCCTAGCGGACACAGACGGAAACGTAATCTACTTCCTGGATGGCCCTCGTAGTACTCCATAATCATTTTTAAGCAAATTTTTAATAATAATCTTCAGTTCTTTATGTTATAAACCATACATCCAATCATTAGTAACCTACTATATAATGTAAAGAATACAGTATATTTATTCTTGTATACTATAACAAAAATACATGCAATAGAAGAAAATCAATCAATGCATACCCAGGATTTATGCGATATGTATCCCTGAAATATAAGAGAAATGTTGCAATACAGTACATGGCATCAGTAACATCAGGCAGAGAACAATCTGACTTTGAATGGAAAAGGCATTTATACAAATGAAACACATCCCAGACAGTTTCAGACAGCAGAATAGCTACAGTAAAAATGCACCAAGGTAGAGAATCCTATAAAAATATTTTAAAAAAAAGAGAGAGAGGTCAATACTTATAACTGTGTATATGAAGAAAACAAAAAAAGGAGACAGTTAACTTTTCAGCAATTACCTTCATTATCAATCTGTTTCATTTTGTTAATTTTTGCAGATAACACCAAAAACCTATCATACATGCATTAACCACTTCACCATTTGCATCATGAGAGACATGTTGATAAAAATATGTCTTTAGCCTTTAGCAACGGCAGATAAATAAGCCTGGACCTTCATCTCTGAGACAAATTCGTCACTTTGTACTTTATCAACCCACCAAGAAGAGTGAAAAATAAAAAGATATTTTGAGTCAAAAACGAAAAGAGGTGACTTACAGTTAACTTACAAAGACAGGAAACAAGGATGCACTTTCAGCTCCCCTTCAGCTCGTATTGCAATGGAACTTATTAATTATTTAACAACCTGCTTTTAGGGGATTGTTAATTTCCACATAAGAGACTAAGAAATACAAAAAGATTTTTTTTTTTTCCTGCGTAGGGAGACAAATTGGCAATTTTCTAAGTTGGTAATCAAGAGCTGGTGAAAGGGGGAGGGAAATATTTCTAAGGCCAAGTTAAGGTGCAAAAAGTTTATCTTTGGTGAAAAAAAAAAAAAAAAAAAAAAAAGAAGCAAATATTTGAGTTTCGTAGGATGATGAAAAAGTTAAAAGAATAAAAAGCCACTGAAAGATAAACAGGATAAAAGTACTACTTTTAATATTCACTGTAGAATTTTGAAATGGAATTTGGTAATTACTATATCTTAACAAAAATGAGTATGCAACTGATTTCGGTTATCAACACGACTACAACTATGCTAATAAATAAAAATAAGAATTTGTTATGTTGCATAATTCAACAACTATAAATCCAAAATTATTACATGGTGCAACCTATCCATATAGAGAAACACTTAATAATATTAACACCATATATTAGGTTAAATTCTGATAGAGATATATATTCTGTAAACTGTTTGAAATTAGTAAAAATTTTCAGAATTCAGTCAAAGCCTCTTGTACAAAACACTACATAACACAACAAAAACCGCAAATTTCACTATATTTTCAAATAGATTACAAGATGTACCTGACCTGGCACTTCTTGTAAATGTCACTCATTGATGATGACTTGTTGAGCCAATGAATGGCTCAACACTTTTTATTTATTTATTTCTTGTGGATGGAAAAGAGCCGTATATTCAATAGAAACCTTTCTCTAATTTCTAAATTTTGATTAATTTCTCAGTAAGTAGTGTTATATTAATAAATATATACCAGATACACCAGTTAGATATAGGTAAAGTACCTTATCGATTATATACTATTAAATTTGGGCAAGGTACCTCATCCATTATATACTAATTAAATTTTAGCAAGGTATCTTTTTGATTATATATTAGTTAAATTTAGGTCAGCTAGCTTTTGGATTATATACTAGCTAAATTTGGGCAAAGTACCTTTCTGATTCCATCTTGTAAGGGTTGGAATGATGAATGCACATACAGATTTAATTTGTATCTTCCATTTAAGATTAATTTCATATTTCTGCATTTGTCAGTTCAGTAAGATGCCTTTGCATTCATATTTTTCAATATACTAACCCTCCTGACAAAGATGTACCAGGAGATGCAAGTTTCCTTTTCCTTTATTTTTCACTCAGTTTACATGCACCTTCTGTATGTGATAATTTTCTATGAATTTTATTCTTGCATAATGCTATTCATCTGGGATTTTGGAACAGCTCTCACATTCTTGTTAGTTTGTTAGTTCTTTTACAACAGTAATTTTAATTCTGGGGGGCCAATTCAATATTTTAAAACTGAATATGATATCTGAATTTGCCAAGCTTATATACTGAACTTAATAAATACTGGTTTATATACTGAATGTTGATGAATACCATGTGCCACTGAATAAGACGCACACCCAATTTTTTTTGATGCACCAAAAAAGAAAATGTCCACTGGTATGGCGTGCATATTTTCATCAAGACCAAAAAGTAGCAAAATGTTCAAATCATCTTGATCACTTAAGAACAAGTCTCATTTTGTGCTTCTGTATTTCCAGTTTCCAATCAAACTATCAAATGTTCTGTTGCAGCGATATAGACAATGAAAACGCACATGCTTTGCTTTTCCTTGCAATACCAGTTTTTTCTTCAGCCACCTGTAAGCAGACACTGGCTCCAACTGAAATAGCAAAAACAAATCCCTCCCCCACTTTTGTCTTGGAACTGGTTTGTGTTGCTGAACCACCACACATATTCAAGAAACTTGGATTACCACTGAATCTTAAAACCACTAATGCACATGGTACTTACCAATAACAACATTAATCTTTGAAAGGGACATATCCATTTCCTATGAAATCTAAGGAATTCGAAGAGATGAATAATAAAATTTTAAAATGGTACGGTAATGCACAAATATTCACTAACCAATCAGGGAGCTGATTACAGCTCGTTAATGCACAAATATTCTGTAACCAATCAGGGAGCTGATTACATCATGCCTAGAATTAAAATTATTTAACTAATCATACATAATAAAATCATTTTTCAAAAAAAAATTGCAAAATTATATTGTAATTTAATATTTAACAGCCATAAATAATGTTTAAAACATTAGATTAAATTTATAGATATTAAAACCTTAAAGCAAGGAATTTATGCATAATAAAACGCATTATTTTTAAAATAAAATGACAACAAAGTATTGGTTATCATAAATAACTTGTCCAGCCATGGGTTTACTATAAGTCGTATCACTCACACAAAACAAAATCGCCAAAATCCATGCAACCGTCTACCAAAGTAGTACCTTACTTATTTCTAGAATAATTACTGAAATTTCCAAACATAAAAATAATAATACAAATTAATAACAGTCACCACACAAGGCCCACCAGTGGCTGAATGATTTAGACCACTAAACACTCGTATTTAGGCTCAAAGCTTTGCAAAAGGATTGGTTGTAAAGGTGTTTTCATGTTTTTCCCCCATGTGTAATGTAAATATGAGCCAGTTTTCTTTAGAAAAGAGTCTTACACAGAGGCATCCCTCCACTCAGGCAGATAGTTACTGTGTATTTTGTCATATTCAAATAAACAAACATCACAGTGCTTTTATTATTAACTGTAAATTTTCTTACAAAATAGGAATCTACTAACTTTAAAATAACATTATATCTACTAACTTTAAAATAGACAGAGTTTACCTTGGAAAGAAATTCTGGAAATCGTTCCACTATTACTGCCTTAGCATCAACAGCTTTTACATTTGAAGACAATAGATCACACATATTTGATGATGGTTTTCTGCAAAATTTTTCTCCCATATACCTAAAAAAAATTATACATCAATCTAAATTTTATAAAAGTAATTATACAGTCTCATGACTTTAATTTTTGCTAACACCACAATATTAATTAGACAATACACTGACTGCATATCTTTCTCTAAGCTCTTCTGCTAACTTCACAAAGCTAGAAATAAAGAATAGATTACACACTAATTGTACCATAAAGGTGTTACCCAGATACTTATCAATAAAAAAAGACATCTCAGAATTTATTCTTGCCCATTCATCTTCAAAGTACTATTTATTAACATATAGATAATAATTCCACAGATATTTCCATAATCAGGAAACTATCAATGAAAGTAATCTTTTTAAAATCATGCCCCAAATTACTGAGTGGACAATCTTTATGATAAAAAATCTTCTACAATACAAATTAATTTTTTTATGTATATGAAGAAGTTTCAGGAAGCTAACTCTGGCAAATAAGGAGGATGAGGAATAACCATTAAAGTGTAAACTCACAGCTTCACAAATTGCACCATAAACTGATTCATTACTTTAATAGAGAGCCCATTATATATTTGCCATTTGGCAGTACATATCCCTTTTGAACCATTCTGGGAGATCAAACTAACAATGAACTTTTACAGACTGCCACACAAAAGAAGTTCCCTTACAGTACCAGAACAAAAGGAAACAAATCTGTAACGATTTGATTTTGCTTTTTATTGAAAAGAATCGTTTAGTTGTGGGAAACAGAAATTTCCAACTGAATAAGCTTTGTTTTAGTCACAACTATAAAATCAAATTTCATAAATTTAAAAAGCACCTTAGACAAAAATTATGCATTAGTTCTGACCTGCTACTGAAGTTCCCTGCAGATTTTCATGTGACTATTATTTCTGACTTTTCTTCAACAATCGTGATAGAATCTAATAGCAGTTCTTCCATGTTCAGTTGTAGTTGCTACTCATGGCTTTGTTTTAAATAAATCCATTAAGTATTTGATATCATATTAAACAAAAACATTATATACAATACAAAGTCTAAGATCCCAACACGTCGGAACTTTGGTGATTCTAGGTATCTGATTTTTGAGGAAATTAGATCGTAAGTTTAAAAGTAAGATGACATGTAGAAATTACAAAATTAAAAACAAAATTGAAATAATGAAGCATTTACGACCTTAAGGGAATTAAAATTCACAAACAAGAGCTCAATATTTACAGGAAATTATGCTAGAAACAGCCCTTCTATATTTCCTGCACATTCCTAAGGCTTAGCTGAATAGCAAAAAAATAAATAAATTCTCACATATACAGCTTATTCAGGGCCCTATATACAGGGTGTGTATAAAGTCCCGGACCCACTTTGATGTTTAATAACTCATAAAGTAATGAAGATATAAACAAACTTACGGCATTTATTGATGGAATAACTTACATATTTTCCTTTTCAGGTTTGAATATCTTTACTTTTGTAAATATCGTCTGTGCGTGTGGTTAATTTCAGATAATTTCATTTTCCAGTCTAAATATCTGTACTTTTCTAAATATCATATGCTTATTCCGACGATGTACAAGGTTATTAAGAAAAAATTAAGACTGCGTGCATACTAAGTTCAAATTGTTCAAGTTTTGGAACCCGACGATAGGCCTGGATGGCCTTTGCAACAGATATGCTAAAGAAGATATAGAAGATAATGCTGAATTTCTGAAGTGCATAACGTTTTCCGACGAAGCCTCCTTTCAACTTTCTGGCATTGTTAATCACCATAATGTGCGCATATGGGGATCAGAAAACCTCCATAAATGCCATGAAGCACAAAGGGATTCCCCAAAGGTTAATGTGTGGTGTGGCACGACCGAGTCACTGGGCCTTTCTTTTTTACAGAAAAGACGGTCTCATCAGTTGTATACTTAGACATGTTGGAAAACTTCATATTTCCAACTCTAGAAGAGCTTCAGCCATGTCTTTTTGCAACAAGAAGGTGCACCCACCTCATTGGTGTCATCGTTTGTAGTTCTTTGAATGACCATTTTACAGGAAGATGGATTGGGCAAGGAGGTCTAATTCCTTGGCCATCCAGATCACCTGATATAACGCCGCTGGACTTTTTTCCTTTGGAGATTTGTAAAGGACAACGTTTACAGGAGGAGAGTGTCGAACATTGATGACCTAAAAGCCAGAATTACAACCGCAATAGCCTCTGTGGATGCCGATATGCTTGCTGGTACCTGGAGTGAAATTGAATATCGAATTGATATTCTCCGTGCGACAAAGGGGGCACATGTGGAAGTTCATTGACAAGGGTCATGAAACTTTTTGAGTCTATCTAACCATTTATGTTATTAATTTTAACCTATCTTTATTATTTTATGAGTTATTAAACATCAAAATGGGTCCAGAACTTTATAAACACCCTGTATTTTACATATCACTGCAGTCTCCGAAGGTCTAAAATTCCACTAACAAACAGTTCAATAAATTTAGAAAATATTGCATCCCAGTGCCTTCCCTAAAATTCTGAAGATCTAGCCTCCTTAATTTTGTTGCGCAGTGCTTCTCTAAATTCTAAAAATCTTGCCTTCCCAAAATTTTGGCACCCAGTCCAACTGTACCACCTCTTTTATCAGTCCTGGGCTTATTTGAATAACTAATGAGTTATTTTCAATTCAAACAGGATGTAATGTAATAATTTGGCCTATGAGCATCATTTACAAAATCTTTTTTTTTTTTTTTTTCATATGGAAAGAAATTTCTGTTAAATTTCTCCTCTTCAACACACTCCACACTTTGCAGCTGAGTTAGCTGAAGTCTGTAATCATGACCAAGTGCAAAGTTAACATAAAAGGTAAAAATGCTTTTTGGTACAGTCAAGTCTTTAATCCGGACTCATCGGGAGTTCGGCGATTCAGGATAATCAGTTTTTCCGGATTATAGATCATCAATTTAAATCTGGTAAGATGGCATGCAGAAATTATAAAATTAAAAATATGAAACGGTAATTTATGAAATAAAGAGCAATTATGAGCTAAAGGTATCAAAATTTACAAAAAAAAAAAAAACCTTAATACTTATTTGTTTATTTTACTAAACATTTCTTTCAACGCGTGCATGCGTAAAGCATACATTACGCATAATCGAAATTAGAAAATTGCAACCAAAAAACTATTTGATGTGTATTCATGATATTTACAATGACAAGGAAATTGATTTAAATTATATCGGAGTACATGGAGATGAAACACTACATTTAGTGAGGAATTATAAGCTGAATAAAATTAAAAATCTGCCCTGAAGACGAGGACAGTGCTAACAGATCAACTTCCAGTTCATTGCGTGTCGTGACGTTCCCCCTCCTTCCACAGAGCAGCGTGAAATTGATAAACAGATTTCGGAATGGTTAGAGAAACAAAGGATATGCCTTTATCCATTTTTTGCAGCAATTCCACTTTTTGTTTGATGGACATCCAAACATGCTTTCGCTTTGTATATCCTTTGGCAGCTCCAGAATTGGAAATTCTATTTGACATAATCGAAATTTCAAGCTTACTTTTATAAAATTGCTCTAACCATCTGCAAAAAATAATAAGCCGAATCCAATTCGAAGATTAAGGAACAATGCAATCTGCAACATTAACTGAAATACATAATTAGATCATTTTAGCTTAGCTTATACCGTCCATTATACATTAAATGTGCATGCGTAAACGTATTATGAGCATGCGTAAATGCGTTTACGCATGCGCAGAAAGTTTGTAGCTTTCAGGTCTGGACTGTAGATTATTCCGGATTATGGACGTCCGGATTAAAGACTTTTGATTGTATACACTTACTAATATTTTTAAAAAAATTTTTTGACATCACTGCATGAGTTATTTCTGAAGCTGCAGTGTTCTGATAGTCATGCTGCAAGAAAATAATAAATAATAATTTGCCAGGTTGGTACCACTGCAAAAGTGAAATTAAGAATCATCAAGACTCTCCATAATATTTTATTATGAAATGTGCAAATCAATGTATATAAAATGTGCAAATGTAAAGCATAAAAAAAATTTACTAGTGTTCCAGAAGCCCAAATTTTAGATTATTCCAGACCTACCAGCCGCTGAGTGATAAAGTCATGGAACACTGGCGGTTCAGTCCCAGGTTCGAATCGAACGAATGGGCTGGCTGCATGGGCTTTTCATGGTTTTCCCCATGTATAACGTGTATACAAGCCAGTTTCTCTTAGAAAGTGCTCTATGAAGGCCTCCCTCCCATTAGGCAGACAGCTGTCTAGTGCTTTGCCATAATCAAATAAATAGATCATTTCAACTATTGGAATTCCAGATTTCAGACATATATATATATAATTTGAATTTAAAAAACATTTTCTATTCGTAAAAAGCCAATTTAAAGTTAATTAAATTTTAAATGAAATTTAATTACAAATAAATGATTAATTATTGCTGTGAACTAATCTACAATATCATTTAAATTCTAAGAGCGTATGTAAATCAAGTGCAAGTATCAAAATCTATGAATAAAGATTTTGGACAGCAAAATTTTTAAAAACTGGGAATTTAAATGGTATTACTAATTTAATTCACTAAAATTTAAAGCTAAAATGAACTATTGTATTTAAACAGAAATTGTAAGTAAAATTTAAATAAAGCTAAGTGCAAAAATTATAATTCATAAACTAAAGAAAACAAAACTACAGGGTTCGTACACATTTCTGCACACGGAAATTAAGTACTTTTAAGGACCATTAATGAAAAAAATTAAGGACCTATGAGCAAATGGGAACTGAATAAATTCAATTAAAAATATTATCTATGCCTGAACTTGACTTTTGTAATACCATCCTGAAAATAAAATAGTATGATGCATTATTATTAAATATGAATTAATTAAGAAAATTTTTAATAAGTTTGAGAATAAAATAAACTTTATAAAATTTATCAAGTAGAATTAAATATTTTACACTTATAATAGTTGAACATGTTTGAAAGAAGATACATGACATTTAATTGATGTTTTACTAACAGT